AGAGAGCAGTCAAGCAAAGCAAATGTTTTAAAATACAGAATGCTCAATTTGAACCTTCCCATTAGATTCAAAAGGGTTGTTTTCTTTTGTTCATCCACTGACATTTTATTTTCATCCGGGCTCACTAGGTTTTGGTTTGTAAACAAACAATGGCGCACACAAAAAAACAAAGGTAAACCTGAATTTACCTGGCCAAACCACTAATCCTATGTTGTGAGCGGCTGCGGTATTTTAATGAGTCACCCTGTCAGCAGTGCAAATGTTTTGTTGCTTAGTTTTAACCCCCTCTACATGCATGCAGTATATTCCATCATTGTCATTTACACTTTTTTTTATTATATATAGCTTTAATCTGACTTAAGCAATAATTTTATTTAGTTTTGAAAGACTTGATGATCATTTGTGTAAGTTGTGCCCTACTGTACCACCACTAGAGGCTGCTATGTTGTATTCTTTGCCTTTCTGGCAGGGGAAACTCTTATAACAGATGAAAAAGCCCCTTTTTTAGGTGACATGCAGATGACTTCTGACATTTTCACATGGATCACCCACTTTTCACATTTACTCAGCAGTTCTCTGTCCAAGTTAAACACAGAAACCAAAAGGTGACAATAGCTAGAAACAAGCAACTGTTTTTTCTCTTATCGAACACCTACCAGGGAGTAAAAGTTTGAAAAAAAATCCCATGTGAGGAGGAGGTGTGAAGCTAAACTTAATGCTTAAGAGAAATGTTGTTTATCAGAAATGAAAAACAACCTCAGTTAAATGAAATGAAGTTCTGTAAAGCCTGGAGGGCATTTATATTTTCTTAACAATATAAAAAATTCATTTGTAAATGCAATAAAATAGTTACCTGCTGCTGTAATCCATTGGGTTACTTCATAGATACACTGAACCACTCAAATATACATGGGATCAGAGTGCATCCACCTGTACAATGTAGCATGGCAATGGATAAATGTAAGATTTCCATCTAGACATCATCATCTAGTCAGTCACGCTATTTAAATTGCATCTATTCTTTTAAATCTGAATTTTTATATTTCATCTGTTAGCCTAGTAGGGTACATTTATGTAAGCTAATATAAGAGTCTTAGCCAACTTATAGAAAGTGGGGGATAAACTACTCAACTATAGTACTTGAGTAAAAGTAGCAATATTCATGGTCGAATCTTACTCAACTACAAGTGAAAGTTAAATTCAGTACTCAAGGATATCTTGCATGTCTTAGTTCTTCTCTCTGGAGGTAATTACTACCTCCTCAGCATGCCAAAGTTCTGCATATGCCTGTTAATGGGCTACCATTTGACCCAGGTGTGTTGAACAAGAGGAATTCCTTAAACATCCAGGATACCTGTTCTGAAGGATGAAGTTAGTGAGAAACATATTGTGGCCAATTGCATTTCAAGGGAGAAAAAAGGCAACAAGGTATTACAAAGATAAGCTGAGACAAATTGAACGAGAAAAAAAAATAGCTTCCTAGAAATGCAGTGGACTAAAAAGTAAAATATTTGACTAGGAAATGTAGTAAAAAAAATATTCAAGTAAAGATACTCAAGAAATGTGCTTGAGTACAATATTCACCTAAATTTACTCAGTTGCTGTCTATAGGCTAGCCTTCAAACTCTTGCTAATGAATGCATATCAGCATAGGCTTAAGAGAAAAAGAATGGCAATAGGACATATTTGAATTTTATCGCACATTTACACTCTGATAAATGATGGTAAACACAATGCTGGAAGAATAGCAACTATTGTTAGAGAGTGACTTAACCCACAATATATTTATTTTAAATATGCAGTAAAAATGGTAAATTAATAAAATAAATGGGTCTTAAGGGTGTTATCCTATTGCTTAAAACTACAGCTTGGTATCTGTCTATATCGCAGCCCCACCAATGCACCTTCCAATACAAAGGCGTTGTGCATTTAACTCTGAACTTGGAACAGGGAAGTCAGAGGGAGATGATCTCTTAGGAGATAGCATTCCGCTCTCTCGCTTGTGGATTCTCCATTGTTTATACAAGGCCACTATGGCAACCATCACAACCATAAGAATGTATACTGTTATGGTATTCCAACTGCCAAGTACAGATGAAAGTGCTGCTCAAACCTGTTCCATGTTGAAACCACAACTTCAGACTTTTACTGGTCAACAGAAAGTTGTGCATAATGTTTGCATGTTTTTTTTTTGTTGTTGTTGTTGTTGTTGTTTTTTTTATCAGTATCATACAATATAAAGTTATATTTTTAAATACCTGAAAATCTTTTATATGTGTCTATTAGCTTTTCACATTTGAATAAATGTGTGCATGTTCTTTGTAAACATGCATAAACTTGGTCTGAAACGAGAATCTAGATGCATTACATTTCAAGTCTTGCAACTGGTTCTCAATTGGATCTAGGTCTAGATTTTTACTGAGTCATTCTAAAACAAACTATGGTTTAATCTAAACCACTTTTTTTTTTTTTTATTGGTTTTTCTTGACGTTTTTGTTCTAATGAATTTGCACCCCTTCCTCTATCTTCTTACCTTTCTACCAGTCTCTATGAGGTTTAAGAAATAAGCACTTTAGTAAGGGAACTGTATAAAAACATTAGAATGGATTATAAATGCATAATACCGGTATATCAACATACATTCATCCATTTTAAAAAATAACTGGTAATTCATTAAAAACAATATATTTGTGCTTAATCTCTTTTAATGCAGCTGTGCAAAAACCACCTGCACTGCAGCTGAGCATGAATGAGGTTTCTCTGATGGCAGGAAAAGTCCAATACAGAGTGCGCAAACATGCTCTCAGTGCCAGCAGGCAAACATTTACTAAGAATTTGAATAGTATATTTGTGTTATTTGTGTTTTTTTTTTTTTTTTTGTATAAAATACAATGTTAATTATCATTGAATATTAAAAAAGTTTTAAAGTCCTAAAAATGGAACAGGGTCTTCCTGACAGTTTTCTTTTTCCCCTCTCAGTCGGGGAGATGGACTTACCCCTTGACAGATAGATAGTAGATCAGTCTGTGTATTGTGACTGTATGGAAAGGAAAATAAGAAAATATAAAGGAGGAAGTAGAGGCTGAGCTAGAGGGAGAGATGTGAAACTAGCAACCACGTCACTGTTGCTGTCACAACAGGAAACTCCGTGAAAAGGCGGAGAGAATGAGACAGTCTGGCTTTTATGTTCTTTTCAGATCAATTGGTATCACAGAGGAGAAAGCCGAGTATCCTCGGGTGATATTTATCTAGTCTGAAGATGCTTTTAGTCGACCAGCGCTGATACTTGGAATGAAGGACATTTTTGGATGCTACTGAAGGGATTTTGACTGAGTGATTATCTTTCCAAAATTCATAATGGAGATGAAAAAGGAGGCACTGATTCCTCTTTTTCTTTTTTGTTTCATCAACCATGTTTCAGGTAATTAGAGATTTAATTTTTGATCTTAAGTCTCCTTTGACATTTAAATGAATTAAACCTATTACTATAAGCCGTCTGAGCATTATTGAAATTGTACAATGTTATTACAAGTGGTTTCATAAATCATGATGGGGGAAAAAATTCAAACAGTTTTGTGTCTTTTTTCCTCAAATATTAATGATAAATGATCGGATGAAGGTACAAGATAAGCCAGTCTTGATGTACTAATGATGATTTCACATGTCTAAAATGTTCCTTCTTTCTAAAACGTGGCTTTTATTTTTATAATCAGAGTTTTGCCCCCAAAAGAAGTAGAAATCTATCTATGGATAGGACAGTGTTACTGTTCTATAGAAGCTTAGCTGCAATTTGAACTGTAATTTCGATCCAGGGATTCCTAAACTAGACCTTTGGGTTGTTTGGGATATTTTTCTCTTTGTCCCGCATAAAGTCACACACCTAGAAACTGGTAATTCTCTGTTCCCTTTCAGGAAAAAACCCAGTGCATGTGATGATGATTTTCAGAATTTTGACTCCCTAGTCATCTAAGCTTCCTCTTTTTACTTTGGGTCAAAGCTTTGGAACACTGTCTAATTTTACCCTTCTCAGTATCTATTTAGCATAAATTTAGACAAAAAAATATTCACCCTTTACGCAAACCATGTAGAAGCAATTCATGTTTGGAAGATATTGAAGGACTCTGTGATAGCGCTTGTATACATTTTAATATGAAACATTTCTTGTTACAGGAGCAATCATCCCTCCACCTAAAAAACTTGAAGTCCATATTTCAGATGGGGTGGTTACGGTTTTGTGGGAACATCCTGAGGACGCCCCACCAGAAGCAGTGTATAACGTTCAGATGCGAACGTATGTAGAAAATGTAGATATACAGATGTTTTTGGATTGTTAATCAGTTTCCCATTTCTGTAGTTCAGCTTTCATGACACTCTGTATGCTCCTGTGAGTCACATTTTTCTTTTTCCTTTTTTATTGACCTGCAATTTTTCTGCCTCCAGGCATAATCAATGGGAGAATGTACCAAACTGCATGGGAGTCCGAATAAACTACTGCCTCATTAGCAATATATCTAACTATTTGCCAAAGTACCAAGTCAAAGTTCAACTGGTCAAAGGATTGCAAAAGTCTGATTGGGAAGTTAGTAAGAAATTTCTTATCAATGAAGGTAAATACTTTAATTTCACATGTGAATGTATCAAACTTCACTTAGAATAAGTTAATTTTGTAATTATTTTGTGCTTTTTTGTGATTTTTTCTTTTTTTTCTCTCAAAGGTGAATTGCTACCACCCTCCTTCACTTTGTGGGCTACATCCAGCAAACTTACAGTTTATGTTCATGAAAAACCCATCTTAAGAAAAGTCTTCCCATTTGGAGTTGCCTACACTTTATATCTCGAGGAAATTGGTGAAGTAAACAAGGTGAGACCAACAATAAGGTTTAAAAACAAACTGAATGACATTGGACCTTTAGAAAGCACATGACAACAATAAGAACCAACAATATCTTGTTGGCTCGCACATAAGACTGTTTTGCTGCAACTTAGTTATTAATGGCTCTTGAAAAAGAAATTGAAATTGGGTAAAACCCTGATGAGTTCATTTCTTTTTTTCTTTTTTTTTTTTTTATCAACAGACTACCACAGTTTATCTAAAGGATGATGAGGGAAAAGCTATGAGGACAAAGACTTTCTCATCTCTCCACTGGGGAAGAATGTACTGTGTCAGCGGGAAAGTTGAAGGCAATGGTGGCCTCAACTCCAGCCCTGTGTCTGAAAAACAGTGTTTGTTTCTCCCAGAGCAAGGTAAAAAGGCCAATCATGTTTACTCTTTGCTCTAATTTGGAATGCATTTTAAAAAGTATTCATAATCTGCTCATATTTACATTTGGTAATGATGCTGCAACATAATTACATATATATATTTTATGTATTTCTACATGATAAACAAACAAAGTGAAGTGGAAAAAAAATTTTCATCAAAAAGTACAAAGTGTGGCATGGATTCATGCTGACTCCATTTACTGTGATGTCATTGTATAAAATACAGTGCAACTGAATGTCTTCAGAAATTACTGTATTAGTTAACATTATATAACTGCAAAACCAACTAAGATATGACTGTCACCTAAACTAAAACGCCAGGCAGTAAGAGCATTTATCAGAAGAACCTGCCCTTTGTGGAGGGATAATAAGAATAACACCACTGCTAAATCTTGTTTTAATATAATTTTTTTTAATATCCTTTTTTTCCTTTGCAACATGGCTAATACAAGGAGACCAGTAAATATGTAAAAAGAGGTCCTCTAGTCAGATAAGACCAAAGCAGAACCTTTAGATATTAGGTGTTCCTGAAAACTAACAAAGCACATCACTTTGAACACATCATTCCCTGGTTTGAACTACGTAGGTGGATGGATCATCCTGGTCTAGAGATGCACAAAATGTAATACTTGACCACCTCTGTGAATCACAATTTTAAACAATAAGTGTAAGGATGAACAATAGTGAAAGTCCTGACCTTAACCGATTTGAAAAGATGTGACAAATAAAACCTGTTTTCAGTCTAAATGAGCTTTAGTTTTTTGCTAATAATGGTAACTTCTTCAGTCTCTAGATGCATGAGCAAAGTTTGTGTAGGTATACTGTGAAAAGATTTCCCTTTGTAACTGCAGTTGACTACAGATTTTCTCTACTATTTAAAAAATTAAAACTGCATATTGTTTTCTTTCCACTGAACAGTTATAAATAGGCCTTTGTGTTGATCAATAACCCGAACTCCTTACAAAATCCAAAAAGTTTGCATTTGTGATAAAAAAAAATTAAAGGCTTCTTCTATGAAAGCATAACATTAGTTACTGAACTTTTTTTTTATGTTTGTAAAGTTTTGCCTTCATCTAATTGCATACATGCTCATCAGTTTAAAACTTTAAACATGATTTATTTTCTTCTTTCAGAATTTTATATCATTGCTGCATCATCCTTATCTATTCTGGGGATCATGGCCTTTGCTATTGTTATTACCAGCATTGTGTTGTGCTACCTGAAACGCCCTGCAAAAACACCCGTGGCTTTGGTAAGACAAACTTGAAAGAATTTGTCCAAATTATGATAGTAATATGAAATCAGAGGCTCATAATTCCTTTGTCTTCTATTTCCCCTTATGTAGAAATCACCAGTAAGTGGCTGGATGCCACTCTCTGTTGCAGAAGGGACCATGGAGGTGGTCACAGACAAAGCATGGTTTCTTTCCAGTTACAAAATCAATACCAAACCTATAAACCTCCCTGAAACCACCATCACAATAACAGACAATGGTGAGGAGGAGAACAGAAGGACTAGCTTGGACAGCGGCGTCAGCGTAGAAACAGACCCTGCAGCGAAAAGAGGACAATGTCCTGCAAGACAAGAGGACAGTGGTTGTGGAAGCATGGGAGGACCAGAGAGCTCTTCCAACAGTCACACGGATTATCCTTTGCAAGATGAGAGCATGGAAGCAGATGATATCAGAAAGACAGAAGACAGCGGGATGGGGTTGAGCTGCCAGATGCATTCTTCTTCCTTGAACCTTTATGGTCAGGACACAGAAACTCTTGTGGAGACTGTCATTGTGGGAAATTACCGGACCCAGAGCCCATCTGAGATCCAGATCCAAAGCAGAGATAGTGAGGACATGTTAAAACAGATCCCTGCACACACAGTTTTAGCGGAAGTGGTAGCGGGATATAAAGCCGGGCCTCAGTCCTGTATATGTTCAGAAACAGGCCAATGCACTTGGTGCCTTAGACATGGCCTTTACAGACCTGAAGAAACCAAACTATGCAGAACTGTTTTTATGGAGGATTTGTTGATTGACAGAAAAAGCGAAATGGTGGACTCAACCACAGCTGTTAAAACACACATGGACTCTGTCATAAACTTCGAAACAACATTATTACAACTATCTGAGGCCTTTCCTTTGCTTACATCAACATTCGAAAAGGACAGCAATATGAACATTTCCCTTTCTCTTTGTGACGTGGAACTGACAACTGACTAATATCCAGTGGAATGAAACACTATTTATAAACGCCTTCTGAAGGAGCCTGACGTACGCACAAGTCAGCCTCAAAAACAGAGGCCATGGTTGTTGCGAAATACTTCAGTGTTTCAGCTGGCAGGTAGAACAGATACTGGACACAGTTCCAGACTGTTAACCGTCTCTGATGCCAGGGAACCTTGTTGATTGAAGACGTTCGTCAAAACCTTCCTCTTTGGGTACATTATAAACTGACTTAATAGCACTTGCAGGAAATGAAACCTGATGAGCAACTCAGTGAAGTAACAGTTTGACAGTTAACCGCTTTGGCATTTGATGATTTTAACTCCCCCAACAATGATGCTTGGTGTGAGTTAGATTACTATAAACACAGAGTGCAGTTTTTTTTTTTTTTTTTCAAAAGCGTCTGTTTTCTTTGGAATCGAGACTTTTTCTTTTTTTTTTTTTTTTTTTCAAAAGCGTCTGTTTTCTTTGGAATCGAGACTTTTTCATAAACTCTTACATAATCAAAATAACAATGTATATTAAAAAAAAGCAGAGACATTTATTTGTTTTTGACGATGTTCAACATTACTGTTTCTGCTTCAGTCTCATCTGCCTCAGCAGATAACCTTTTGAAATCATGTTGAGAATATAAGCTGTTTCTGAAAATGAATAAATATTTATTTATTGTTTGTGTTGGTTTATCCTTGCATGTGATAAAAAGAAAACTCTCTTTGGATTGTTCTGTAATTTTCCACCATTTTACATGCCATGGTTCATTGAGGAAACAAATGACACAAAATTTATGCAAGGAAAACCCTGAGAAAAAAAAAAAACTACTGGGGGAACACAAATTGCAATGTATGTGTCAGCATCAGGGAACCCCAAATGCAGATTAAGTACAGGAACCAGTGCTGTGGTTTTTTTTACATATCTAAACAAGGAAACAGATACTTCCTCTGCACTTACGTCCACGACATTTGAAAAAGTCCCACAGCACAGTTCTATATCATGTCTTCATATCATGTCAATACATAACACACAATTTCCAGATGGTGTAGAAAAACAATGTGTGGCCTATTTCTTTTCTTTTGCACTGAAGGGGAAGTGGGACAGATTTTGGCTTTTTCATGCGGAATGGAAAAAGAAAGCCTTTTTTGATCCAATAAATGTCACAATGTTTTAGCACACGTGTCTACCAAGTTTCCCAGGAGCCCATTTAATGAGTTCAGTTTTTCCGCTCACATATTTAAATCTAAATAAACAGAAATGGTAAACTCTTGACTCTATATACATCCACGTTATAAAAATGTTAAATAGTAAAACAAACATACTTTCTTATTATATATATATTTTTTTAAATACAGTTGAAATCAGCTGTTTGAATATTAAAAGATATTAAAACAGACTAAACTTTTTCTATTTATAACTAGACGTGTTATCAAAAGGATTTATTTTTATTATTAATGTTTCTAAAAATAATTTTTAAATGTCTTAAATTTAAAGTTACTGAGAATGTAATAGTTTTATAGGTGTGTGTGATTTTTACGCAGAAATATGTATTAAAAACAGTGCTTATTTGTATGACATCATGAAAAAACAAACAAGTTCAATATAATAGAAATAATATAAGTAATGCACAAATATTTATTAGGTAACAAAAGCAGGGACCATTTTTAAGATACTAGCTGCAGTCAGAAATTAATTGTCATGCCGGCAGTGTGCTGTAATGGACTAAAAAGCTATTTAGAAATGAATAATTAATAATTTTAGAAGTCAGATTAGCAAATTGATTTAATTTTAAACACATATCCTGTGATAGCATAAAATAAAGCTTTAGTAGCATATAAAACATTGGGTAAGATCCGTACTAAAAGTGTATGTATACCCAAAAACCAAAAAAAAATAAAAATAAAATAGAAATATATATATATATATATATATATATATATAGACATACAGTATATATAGAAATTATGGGAATGAGATAAAAAAATCACAGGTGAATTCAATATTTGTGTACAAGGTTATGATGTGTATTCTACCCCCTACCCAATGTTTAACCCTGAATGCACAATGCAGAGGACCTCATATGTTAAAGGTGTCTCCATGACCCATCTAATCACTGCTCTTTGGTTAACAATGGACACCTTGGAGAAAAGAGCAAACAAAATATCACCAAACAGTATCAACACTAAATATCATGTTTATTAGCCACAGAAGTGGAGTGATAAATACAATTTTTTTTGCTTCTCAAAAAAAGCTTTTGGAGAAGCAATGATTAGTCGTGTCAGCAATATCCCAGACCTATGTATAATTATAAAGTATCCCATAGTTTGTAAAAGTGGCTTCCGTCAGAGAGTTGATAAAGTCACACCATTACACAGTCAACTGTGAAGTTTAGAAATGTAAAAAACAGTTATTTAAACATTTGTTTAGTCTAATTGAAATATCCAAGTGTTAATCCCTCACAATAAATGGTGGAGATTCAGGGTTCCTAAATTCAAACAGCCAGTGTGTGTGTTGGTTTTAAAGTGAACACTTAGCAGAGTTTGGCTTAATGTTTAAACTCTTGTTTCCTCAAAGGCACAGCTGCTAAAAGTTGGACTATTTCTGTGAGCTGGGTGTGTTTTGTTTCTTTTATCTTTTTAGCAGATCACAAGTTTTGCATGAAAAAAGAATTACACTAGTTTCAGGCCATGTTTTTGCATGTGGAACTGCTAAAAGTCAGGCACCAGGTGTCTATCCATAATGATGACAGGACAGCTACATTTAGGTGGGGAAAAAGTAAAGCTTGCCAGCAAGTATACAATATCTCTATTGAAAAGGGATGGGTCTGTGAAAAATTACAAGGTCTTTTGCTGAAGAAGGTTGGGTTCCTCTTATACCTCATTTTGAGAGCTTGTCCCAATGCATCTAAAACAGAACTACAGTTCTATAGAGCTAGGTTTAGATGCATTGTTGTGCTGTGAGGCACAACCACCTCAAACCAGCTCAAAAAATGGAGGTGGAGGTGGCAATTTTGGTTTGTTTGCAGCCAAAAAAACTGGCTACCAAGCAGTCTTTTTAGTCTACTTCATATTCTAAAATATTCTAGAGTCAAATGTGAAGCCATCAGTGCGAAAGTAAGAACTGAAATTTGTTCATCAACAGGATGATGATCCCACACCAAGCAGCATATCTTTAACTGTTTAGGTGATAAAGAAAATGAAAAGCATGCTCTAGTTACTTCTTAAAATAAAGACTTGAAATGCAGTGGCAAATCTAAAGAATGCTGGGAAACAACAGAAAGAAATACATGGAAACCTTATGAAGAGAGACTACATTTCAAAGAAGATAAGACATATTTCCTCCACAAAGAGGCGAGAGACTGAAGAGTCATACAGAAGCTATAAAGCGTTACTGTTAAAGTTTTTTCACGCTGTTGAAGAGGTGTGAATTTTTTTTGTGTTTTTTTTTTTTAAGTTAGATACATAAAGTTTTCAGAACCTGGTAAAGCCCTATTAATTCTTATTATTAAATGAATTAACTTCTTTACATACCCTTCAGAAGCAAAGTATCTCAAGACCCTGTTAACTGATTAGCCAGAACATGAAAAACTATTGTTACATTACCAATTCATGATGGTATCAGGGATGCACTAGACAAACAAGACTGTTCTATGGACATCCAGTCCAACAACTCGCAGTACTTGAGACATCATTTAAAGATACCATAGCTCAGTTCAATTTATTCTCTAAAGTTCATGCTTTGATGATCATAATATTATGCCTCAGAAATATACAATGTTTTATACCAGTAATGTTGCCTAACTCATCTTTTCTTAAATTTTATCTTAATTCACTTCACCTTATGGGCTCATGCTTTATTAATAGTTCTTGACTTAAATATACAGTACCACAATTTTACATGCTACAGTCCATCGGTTTTGTCTCTTGTGTTTTGCATTGGTAACTAATGACATGCATGTGTCATTTGGAATAAAATAAAATTGGAGTGTACAGTTTTGCTATTACTTATTTTGTGTTATTAATAGCTCATTTGAGTATGCATCTCTCCATTCATGCATACCCAACTGTAACTGAGAGTCAGCTGCTCTGCATGGGGTTTTGCACCTTATGTACAGATACAGTGCATAGTACAGAATGGACAAGTACCATTGCAAACATTGTAGTAGTTAATGTATGTATTAATACACAATTCTATATGTATGATAGGGGATTTGATAACAATTTGTTCCCCTAAATGTTTAGTATACATCAAGTTGCTTATTACCTAGAGTATAATTACTATGGGATTATCCACCCATCGCATCTAAAAAGAACATGTTTTGGAGTAAAATTGGACAACAATTCCCCACAGAGAATCACATTCTGCATCATCATTGACTAAAACACCACTCAGGCAGGGGGATGACATTTTTTTAAAACTAAAACACAAAGAGCCAGATTCCATTATATAAATACATACAGACACAAATACCTTGGAGATATTTCCAGCGGCCTAAAAATCTTAATTTTTGTGCGCAGTTACCATTGCTACTTTACAAGGAGAAAAGAAAATTGGCTGGAGGCTTTGAATCACTGTCCCAATTGTAAGGAAGGGTGGTGGAAACATTGTGTGTGGGTGTACTTTTTTTTGTGTCTCACTCGTGCCCCTCTCAAATAGCTAGTATCATAAGGAAAGAAAGATACAAACGCAAAATTCAAAGTTAACAATGAATAGATTAAAGTTGAGGGAAATAACAGGTCTTCCAGATTCACCACAGCACAGTTATGTGAAAAGCTTTTATCAAAAGGGAAGGATATTGGTCGACTAGATCGTGATGTTGGCACTGGTATCATTGAAACCGAAAGTTCAATACATTCATTTAGCCAGCTATAAAAACAACATTGGGGTTTTACAAAAGCTATTAAAGGTAGAAATATGTGCTGGTCTTTCTGTGCATTGCTGCCTCTGGTACAGGGGAACTAGAATCTGTAAAGGACAGCTACCTAAACAAGACATGTTTGCCAAGGTCAGCAGTCTGAACCTTTAACATTGAGCACAGAGGTACTAACTAACAGGTGGTCCTGCACAGCTTGTTTTAATGAAGGATAGGAGTGCTAGTGGGAGATAAGGCACAAAGGATTCGTGCAGAGAAGCCTAATGCCTAATGTGTTTGTTTAAGGACTCATCCAGATGAAGCTGCGTTTGACTGTATACGATAAGCTTCTTTTTTTTCCGGTTAGGGGTCCCATCAAGACAAAGCAGCTGCAAAACATACTACATTGGAAACCTACTTCTCAATCATGATACCCCATATGCCTAACTGACAACACACTGATGTGTTTGTGACACAGTGACTATAGTGCTGTGATTCTGATTTAGAATTAGTTTTATAAACTATTAAATGTATGGTGGATTTTATAGTTTCTTCTTGCTGCCTCTTCTTTCCAAACAAAAT